CTGTCCACTAAAACTGTAGACCCAATGGAGGCAGACTTGAAACTCAAATCCCTCCAGGTGATACTGTCAATCATCACAGCCTCACAATGACTCATCACCCCACAACCTCCCCCTGCCCCTGAACCCATTCCACACTGGTGAGGGACAGTCGAGGAGGAGGAGAATGATGCACCGGCTAGTCCACTGCTGCTGCTATTGCACTGAATGTTTAATTTGGCACTGAAGGAATTGGACAGAGATTTCACGCTCGAGGGGCGCAAAGAGGAGGAACTGCTAGTTGTATTTGCACTGTTTGTAGCTGTAGTGTTGTTGCTACTTGTTGAGGGGTTGGAGGGGGTCTGCAGTTGTAAGTTGCCGGCTACATGCACACTGTCTGAGTTGAGAATGGGCAGAATCACGGCTGGTTTGCTTCCGTAGTCTAAAACGAACAAAAAAACAGTGAAACATTTCTAAGCACGGAGTTTCACGAATACCCTAAAACCTCTACATTTGCTTGAAAATATTTTCGCCTGTCAAACACATATTTTTTAGATTTAAAATGAGAAAAAAACAAGACCTTTTTCTAAGCAAACTTTTTCAATCCGTAAAAAAAATTAAAGCATTCTTTCGCAAGGAAAAAAGTAACAACCATCCGCGCGAAAGACATGATGAAAATCTAGCAGACAAGAAAGACGCTTCAACGATAAGTATGGGGCTTCTTTGGAAGGGGGAGTAACAGGGGGATGCAAACAATTTAATTGTAGAGGTGACTGTTTAACGATAGCAATTTTTTGCTTATTAGTAGCAGAAATAGGGACTTTTTGAAAAAACATGTGTTTACGTGTAAAACACGTTTTATTCTAATATGATTGGATAAAAAAAAGTTTTGAAACCCCCACCTGTGTACACGAGTAAGAGAATGTAAATGTGGGGACTAAACAAACGTCGGACCTGATGCGAACATGACGTGGTGCATGCCAATGAACAGTCTGGTCTTGGGTATGTGGGAGGAGGTGGAGTAGACTGTGTGGTAGGAGCCATGGAGGTGGTTGAAGAAGAGCACCTTGGTCCTACAGGCCAACGCCAACACATTCTCGTCCTTGAACTCCACTCGCCACACCTGCGCACAACACAGAACAGTGGGGGGATAAAGAAATGATTAAACTTTTCCATCCACTCGTTTTTTAGCCTGTTTGCCTTCTACACCCTATTATACTTGATCCTCTCTTCTATAATTTTAATTTGTTTTTCAGGATTATCACTCGATGAGCTAAATGCTCTTTGCTAACTCCTCCAAACATTTTGGAAATTTGCAATATGTAGCTGGTAAATTTAACTAAGCTTAACTTTTATTATTTATTTTTCTTTTGTTTTTCGATTTAAGTTTACTGATTCAAGATGAAATTACATAGCCTAAATGACATCTTTCTTGGTTAGTAGGAAATTGCGAAAATTCACAAAACCTGAAAAAATTAGGGCGCGGGTAAAGTTACAACATGACAATAATTTATTTAAATATACCATTAAATACTTCAGTTAACTTTCAATACAGGCACAAGGAGACAGTTAAGCTACATTACGCAAGCACAACATCGATAAAATTATGAGTTATTTCTGATTTAGGATCTGATTAAGGAGGCGCGCGGCAAGTTTCTTCCGGTGACCCTTTTGTTATTTTTACGATATAATTGTCAGGCTTGCCGTTTCTTAAGACTTCCTGACAGCGCCTTTGTACCATTTAAGGGTAGTAAACATAGTTGATTGCATTCGGATCCGTTCCTCGCCACAGAAACTTTCGACCACAAATGTTTTGGGTCCAAACAGATGGGTGTGAAAATCCATTTGGTCTACCTAAGAAAACATCCGTCCGCCCACACCAAAACCCTAGATCTGCACCAGTTGGACCATTATGTGTTGGATATAATGTGTAGGGCAGACTCCTCGTATAAGTACCAGTACCTGTTCTGGCACAGTCCAGCGCTTCCACTCTCTGAGTCTGTGGCCACAATCCAAAATGTGATGCAGCTGCAACTCCGTCTGTGCCTTCTCCTCGTGTCTGAACGTGGCCACCAGCAGATGGTCAAACACTCGAATAGTACTCTGACTCTTCTTGAACTCAGTCGAGAAGAAGTACTCCCGTAGACCTTAACCACATCACAACACAATACAACAATCAACACATCCACTCAACAAAGGTATTACTACTCAACTTATAACCTTGGACAAACAGAAAAAAATTAAAGCAGGCTTGCCGTGTGAGTTCGCAAGAGGTTTATTTGTCCATATAAATGGATTATTTCCGATCTGAATCTTTTGCCTCTTGTTTGTTGCTGTATTTTTATAACTGTTTTAAAACCAGGCTCTACTACCCAAGTAATGCATCATCTGGCTGTTTAAAATGATTTCTAAAACTGACCGATGGGTGCGGTGGTGCCTGGCATGGCAGCAGCTGCAGCAGCCGCCGACTGGTCACTCATGCTCCTCTTCAGGAACTCATTGGCAGTCAGACAGTCGCCGTCGTCCGAGTCATCGTTGTCCATGTCCCCCCACAGGGGCGAGAAGGGGGAACTACTACTGCTGCTAGTATCTTTAATGTTGTTCGGGTTTCCCAGGGGTGCCTTGACTACCACTATTTTGCTCTGATTGGTCGCACGGTCTCGTTCAAACAACACTACAGCTGGAAAAAACGTTATCATAAGAAATACGTAATAATCCCTTCCATTCACATGTTTAATTCTCAAAAAAATTTAATTGAAAAATGAAACAATCACTCAATATTTTCGCGTACTGATTGAAGAGTTTTTTATCAGCTGAAATGTTTGTTCACGTAGGAAGGCTAAGAAAATTATGTACTTTTTTTGATGAGAATAAAGTATATAATTACATAAACCCACTAGACAAGAATAGTTCGGACCTGATATTTTGGAGTTTAGAAACTGTTTGTTTCTGCTGCTGCTATTTCCGCTGTTTCTCTTCAGAATACTGGCAAAAAGACTGCTAGTGGACGAGGAGGACGCAGAAATAGACGAAAAAGAGTTCGTCTGCTGACTGGAGTCCCCCCTGTCGCCCCCATTTGTGGACCCTCCCCCTCCACCACCCCCACCCGAGGAGCTCCCATCAGATGGATCCTTGGTGGGGTCTTCGAAGCAGCAGCCTGCTATGCAGGGTTGCACCATGTTGATATTGGGAACTGTCTTGATCAGCTTCCCTACAAAGCATTAGAAAAATTCATAAGTAACATATCCCCCTAAACATAACGGACAAATTTCCTCAGAAAACAAAGGAGCAAAATTCTGGATTCTGGGTGGCTAAAAAGAGATACTTAAAATCAAATGAACAAATTAGCCTAATTTTTTTGGCTGTGAAAACTCAATTACTTGCCCAAAACCGGAATATACTAAAGAGGAATATTCATTTAATTGAAAATATTCCAATAGGAATATTCAATTAATTAGCCCAAATTGATTCAGGCAGAAATAGGGTCGGATCTACTCCGCCATTTTTATCCGTATTTTTAAGGTCGATCAAATTGATGTTCCGAGCTCTCGCAAAACTTATGCCCCAATATGCCAAACTTCCTGCAATGCGGGCGAACTTTTAACAAAACATGCCAAAAAGGCCGTGTTCCCACGTTAAATTTAGCATGTATTGGCGCCAAAGGCGCTTTAAGAAAGTTAAAGGCTGGTCAGCTAAAACTAGATGTAAACGGTAGCGCATTAAGGGGGGGGGGGGCAGACGCCCTTTCCTCTCAGGGATTCGACCCTCTGCCGACCCAAAGATTCCCCCTTTGTACTATTTTGAGATATCCATTTTTTGCTGGCCATTTTTTTGCGTCCAATTGAGATATTCACAATTTGTGAGGGGGGAGACCAAGCTGGCAGACCAGATTGGCGCTAAAGGCGCCAATCTATACTAATTTTGAGGGGGGAGCGCGCGTCGAAAAAACGCAATTTTTTGGTAGAAATTTTCCAAGAAGTGCCTAAAAACGGTTTTTTTCATAAATTTGCCTGCGACGGAGAAATATTCGTCAAATTAGGGTCTTTATAGTGGTTTGGGAGAGCTCAGAAAATCAATATGGTCGACCTACAAAAAAAAGACAAAATTTTCAAAATTTTTTTGAAAATCCGCCCCCTTTCAAGAAAATCCTAGATCCGCGTCTGGAAGTTAGTGTTTTGGATGGCCAGCGGGTGTAACCCCTCCCCAATTTGTCCCTGGCAAAATTGTATATTTCGTCAAATATTTTTACAGTGGCGAATCTGCATTTCAGAAAAAAGCAAACTAATAGCAAAGTCGCTCAAGAAAGGAAAAAAGAAATATGGAAATACAGTTAAAAGTAGCCTTGAAAAACAAAACATTTAGCTATCAGCTGGAATCGTCGATCCTCCGATCTGTAGACTAGAAGTCGCACGTTCTTCCATGTGCGAGACGGTCATCTGTCACTATCAAACAGTGAAAAAGTAAATTTGAGCCTGAACAAATTTTAAGACTTCTCCTGGAAAAAAACCAAATAATAAAATCATCAGCACCTATATAAGACTCTGAACTACGTTCATCGATTCTTAAGAATTCTGACCCAAATTCTAAAATTATTCCAAAAAAAGTTCGCGTTTGCCACATTTTAAGTGTTTTTTTTAAATTAATGCCAAATTGTTGGCAACAACAGTGACCTTGAGCAAATTAAACAGCCAAAACACGACGATTTTTTTTAGGTTAATTAGACTTTGCATACAGCTTTCTAGTGCTCAAATGAGTTAACAATTGGTTTCAAGCGTCAAAATGTGCAGTTTTAGGCAATTCGACGACCTAAAGGGATACTGGCGTGCAACGCACCTCTGGTACTCATAATAAACCGCATATTCTGGAAAAAAGGATCTGCATTCTTTGAGTGTACTCTGACAGCACACAATTACAAGGTTCGTAATAACAAATTTTGCAAAGTTTTTTTATTCAAGTTTTTCATTTGAAATTTTGAAATTTTTGATTTGCAACTCTTATACTACCCAACTACAACTTTGGGAAATTCAAATTTCGAGAAACTTCACCTTAAGTTTTCAAAAAAAGGTATTTTTTGAGAACCAGAAAAAATTTCACATCTCGGAAGCTACCAAGATATCAGCAGTCTTACTTGATAGCAATAATCGCAATCTTTGAAAGTTCTCTAACAGCACACATCTACAGGGTTGGGAGTTTCACTCAAGTAAATTTTTTTTCTAATTTGAGTTTTCTGAAAAATTTCAAAAAAAATCACGAAAATCGTCTTATCTCTTAAACTAAAAAGAATCGGGCATTCTTATTTGGAGGCCGCAGTTGCAACCCCTGCGATTACTGACTGCCCCCAACTACAGGTTAGGAATACTGCAAGGTTTTTTAGCAGTCATATTTGGAGCAGGGTGACCACTTTTTTCAGAGAAAAATCGTGACTATAACAATTTTCGAATTTTTGTCGACCTTTTTTTTTAGGTCGACCAAATTAATTTTTCAAGCTCTGCCAAAGCACAAAAAATTCCCTGTTTGGCCAAAATTTCTGCGCCGCAGGCAAATTTGTAAAAAACAGGCCAAAAAGGCGGTTTTATGGGTTTTTTTGGAAAATTTCGACCAAAAATTGCGTTTTTTTGGCGCCCCTCCCCCCTCAATATTTGTATATATTGGCGCAAAGGCGCCTTTAGAAAAATTTTAGGGTCCGTCACCTAAAACCGTTGTAAATAGTGACTTTTATTGACCATTGAAAAAATAGTGACGAATTGACCAATAGTGACTGGTCACTAAAATAGTGACCATGTGGTCACCCTGATTTGGAGGCAAAATTCGCAACTCCTGAGAGTAACCTGACGAAGCCTCACACAAGTTTTTTCAAATTTTTTATATCTAAGTTCTCTGAAAAATTTTGAGAAAATCCTAAAAAAAACGTCATATCTAGAAAACTACAAACATTTAAGCAGCCATATTCAGTGGCAAGATTCGCATTTCCCTGAGAGTACCCCCACAGATTCTAAAAACAGGATTGAGATCTTCAACATTTTGGGATTTTTTAACATCCAAGTTTTTTTGAAAATTTCGGAGAAAATCATAAAAAAACGTCGTATCTTGAAAACTACAAGTATTTGAGCATTCATATTTGGGGGCAAAATTTGCAACTCCTGAGAATACCTTGACAGAGCCTCAGCACAGCGATGCGAATATGAAATTTTGTGAAATTTCTTATATCTAATTTTTCTGAAAAATTTTGAAAAAATCTTGAAAAAACGTCATATCTCGAAAACTGCAAGGATTTGAGTAGCCATAATCAGAGGCAAGATTCGCAACATTTGAGTATTCTCACAATATCCAACAACAGGAATGAGATCTTCAACGTTTTGAAAGTTTTTGAAATCATAAAAAATGTCATATCTCGATAACTACAACGATTTGAGAAGTGAGATTTGGAGGAAAGATTAGCAACCCCTAAGAGTACCCTGACAGCACCCAACTACAGCGCTGGAATTTCAAAAATTGGAAATTTTTTAAAATTAATTTTTCCGGAAATTTTTGAAGAATCTTGAAATTTGCCTATCTCGTACACTAAAAGGATTTAGTTATTCATATATGGAGGCCAGAATCGCAAAACCTGGGAAAACTCTTACAACATCCCACTATTAGGTTGATGAAATAAACACTGAATTTAAACTGGAAAATCGAAAAAACCTTAACCATAGCAATATACGATATAGCTTAAACATAAAAAAACTCTTTCGTTAAACATGCAAAATTATCATGCTTAAACATGGGAGATAGCTGTCACTCGCATTTAAATATAGTATAGATAGTTATAGATAGAAAACATTTTGGCATTATCTATCTATACTTCGGAAAATTGCCTGGTAGATTGTTGACGTATAAAAAATGTGTTCAAGTTGTGGGCTTGAAGTTATTCAAACAAAAGACGTGTCTGAAAAAGCGCAATCATTCTGCATTGCTCTTTTGACAGTTCAAATTGACATTTGAAAATGCAGTTCCAATATTAACGCCATTGAACTGTTTGAAGGTCAGAATTACGTTGTCCAATAAATTTGTTAGAAAATATTTAAAAAAAAAACAGTTTCACGGCACTTACAACTCTACTCAAGCAGATAGAACAGATGCAATTAATATTCCCTTGCTATGCAGCAAACGAGTCCCTGATGTGCAACTTCAGTAGGAAAAAAGTAGTTTCGTGATATTAAACCACGCTCGCTAGCTCGCGTGTGTAACAAATACCATTACACTTCGCATGTGCTCGTAAAACTTCATAGAGCATTAAACTTTGATGTTTTTCATCTTTCATGTACTTAATGAATATTATGCATAAAAATAGCGAGGGCTTGTTTAATTCATCTAAAAATTATGCGGCTTAAGCTAGGTTTGACATCTAAAAACTTAGGAATATTAACACACAGAGGCGAAGTGGAGCTTCGTGATACTTGCGAGACCACTTAAATACGATTGAAAGCTAGCAGAAAAAAATGAAACGCCCTTAAGTCGAAAACAAAATACAAAAAACGACCTGATAAAATTCCATTTTCCTATCTGTTAACCTTGCTAATCGCAAAGATAAATAAGAACATATTAACGTTATCTTTTGCTCGAGGATATTCTCGTAATGGGTATTAATTATGCCCTTCGTCTATTCTTGTAGAATTCGTTTTTTTTACTGTAATATTTCAATGCTGTTGCATAACACTTGATTTTGGAAAACTAAATACTTTCTTCCTATATATTTTTTTCAGAACTTTTTAGAATGAAAAATATGATATTATGCTGAATAATTTCAAACTTTCTTAACTCACCGGTGATAATGTGGTATATGTTGAGCTGCCAGATACAGCTGGGACTCTTGCTCATCTTCCGCATCTGACTACCTCCGCCTCCCGTTGAACTCCCTTGACTCCCACCAGCAACACTACTCGTAGAGTTGTTCACAGACTGCACTGTCCACCTGTCAACAGACAAAGACACTTCACTTTCCCCAGAGTTTTTCATACTTCTTCAAATAAATTTATTGACTCTGCAATCATAAAAATACTATACATCCACGTTTTGCTTCGTGCTTTATGATAATTTATGTTCCGACCACAACACAAAACGGGTAGGGTGCGTTTTTCCGACTCATTTTTACGGCGTCAAAACAATTTGTAGGAAAAAAGCGTAGTATCATAGTAAAGCGCTTTCAGCCGTGATTCGGATTCCGAAAACAATTTCAAAAAAGTTGCCTGAGTCGAGAAAAATCGTTGTGAAATTGGTCGAGATTGTTAGCAAATAACACAAAAAAAACATTAATGTTACACAGAGGCTAATCCTCTATGAAGTGCAATAAGAAAATTTAGAAATAAGCCTCGAATAAGTAAGAATTCGGCAACGTCTCGGACTCCAACCTGCGACCTATAGATTATGAAACTCACTCACTAACCACACAGCCACGAACGCTTAATAGGTCTGGCCACAAATAAAGCAGAGAACGGATGCTATGCAACTTCCAATGCTACAGTTTAATTTCCAAGTAAGTAAACACTGTCATTTGCAAATTAGGTCAGAAAAAAGGTTTGTAATAAAACACTACGCTGATCGCTAGTGTAAACATGAAAAAGGATAGCCGGCTGTTGTTAAGTTCCGACCACAGAATGTTTCGAGTTTCTTTGTTCAAACTATAATTATTTTCAGACTAATTTTTTCCGGCATTTTTTTAGTGTTTCAGTGATTTCAACTTGTGATATGGCTCACTAGGCCAAGCATTCCCCTCTCGCTAACTAAAAATCAATGATTTTTTAAAAAATTTTTAAGAAAATATTTTTAGCTTTCGTTTTAAGAATTTGCCTGGTCGGAACAATTTGTGCTATTTTCACAGTTGATCCTTGTTGATGTTAACATTCATGTTTTGTTTGTGGTGTTTGCCTATATTCTATCACTTATTTAAATTGATTTAGTGTGAAATCAAAAAGATAAGCACATCAAGTTTCAATACAAAAACACGAACAGTGCATGTAGAAAATCATCAATCAGTAAAATTCTCGGATACCATATGATTTCTTGGATCAATTGAGCAATCCCCCCCCATTATCGCGTGGGGGGAGATAGATCAGTAGGTACTTGAGACATGAAATCATAAAACATATTTTCCAACGACTGTGGAAAGCCTAAACTTACAATATCAAAGCTCAAAAGTTTCATTCAGATTGAAAAAAGAATCAATAAAACAGGCATAAAAAGCGACTTTTTCTTTCTTAAAACGACACATAGCTTTTGAGTACAATATTAAGGTGCTGCGGATAACCGTTTTTGCTATTCAGATACAAGGCAAGAGCACCAACCCTGGTAAATTGCTTTCCTCGATGAGGCTATGGTCGCCAAAACAAAAATTTGCAAAAAAATTATTTTCATAAATTTCGATTTTTTTTCAAGTTTTTTTTTCGATACTCATATAAAATAAACTTCAGTCGGTCAATTGATTGCGTGCTATGAACACATCATCCGTGTACTTGCGTTTGCTGACGTCTTTTTGTAGAGTTTTTTGTTTTTGCTGGGGGGGGGAGATAGCTCAATTGGTCATTACGATATTGCTCAATTGATCCGATTTCTTTGATTGGTTTATGAAGAACAAAAAAAGTAAGAAAGAAAGAAAGAAAGAATAAATTAAGATAGAAACACATCTATCTTACACGTGATAGAACAAAAGCAAACAAAAGTTTATAGAAAGTTTTTGTTTCTTAAGGCTCTGGCTGGAAAAAGCTTGAAATGTTTTTCTAATTTTTCGTGTGCTGCAACTGCTTTTTCTCTAAGTCTGTTTTCTGCATAAGTTTCTCGTTTTGGCAATTTTGAATGAAGAATATGGTCTTGTTTTGAACTTGACTGTAATAGTTTGTTGTCATGGTTCTCTATGAGCTCGAAAATTGGAGTAAATGTAGAAGTAACACCAAGTTTAAGAGCCCTGCGCTGAACTTTGTCCACATCGGCCAATTCGGTCGAATTGGCACATGCCCATACCGGTAATGCGTAAGTAATTTTACTCTGCACCAAAATTTTGTATAAAATATCAAGGGCAGAGATGTTCATACCAAATGTCTTTAGTCTATACAAAAGGTATATACTGCTGGTTACTTTTTTGCATAAACTTTTGATGTGCGATGAAAACGTAAGCCTGCTATCAAATAATACTCCGAGAATTTTAAGCTCTTCCACTTGCTCAATACCATCAAAAGCTTGTGGTACTAAACTAATGTCATTCGGTTTGACAGTCATCAGTTTTGTTTTTCCCTCGTTGAGTATGAAGTTATTTGTGGAGCACCAAGTTTTAATTTCCTCCAAAACTTTCATCGTGTTTTCGACCGAGCCGAACCCCGCTATCACAGAGTTTGCATCGTCCGCAAACTTTATAATTCTAGCACTGTTTGTACTCTCCAAATCCAAATCATAGCTTACTGTATTGAAACGCGGCGGGCCAAGAACTGTTCCCTGAGGAACACCTTGGTTAATGCATAGCAAGTTCGAACGCTGAGAATTACTTTCCGTGAAAATTTTTCTGTCCTGAAGAAAATTTGCGATCCAATTGATTATGAATGGATTGATTTCCGGTCTAACTGATTGTAGCTTATCAATTATAATTGAATGCTGGGCTCTATCAAATGCTTTACTAAGGTCTATTGATAGTATCTGTATATAATCAGCTTTACTTTTCTGAAAAGAAGCAATTTCTTGCTGAAGACAAATCATAGCCGTTGTGGTAGACGCTGAATTTCTGAAACCGTGTTGGTTTTTAGGTAACCAGCTGTTGTACTGTGCTGAGATGAAGTTTTTCATAATAATTCTTTCGAAGAACCGAGAGATTACTGGGGTGATTGAGATGGGTCGATAGTCCTCAGGGCCCATAGGGGCTTTGCATTTGGCGATCGGAACTATTTTTGCAGTTTTCAGGAGTGAGGGGACTTTGGTTTGCAATATTGACAAGTTCAATATCTTTAACACTGGTTCTGCAAGCGAATGAGCGTTCTCCTTCCAGACCCAATACGGAATCTGGTCCGGTAGCAGTTTGTTTTAATCGTTTGAGCTGGGAGTATATTTGCTGTAGTGAGACCTCTGGGGAGTCATAACCTGATACGTTACATACATGCGGCTCAATATACTCCGTAGAAGTACAAATGTCCGCAAAGTATTGATTCAGCTCGTCAGGTTCGTGGTTTGCTGTAGAAGTTAAGTTTTTTCGGCCTGTTAAATAGTTCACTTCTTGCCACCAAGATTTGGTTCCACGTTTACTTTTTGTGAGATTCTTCTTTATCTCCATTTTGATAGCATTTTCTACTTCGGTTGAAATTCTGTCTTTTTTCTTCATGCGGTACTTTTTCTTGAGAAGCGATTTCAGCAGAGGAGTCATGTAATTGGGGTCTCTAGCTGAAAGACGCACAGTTTTTATAGGACAGGTAACATCTAGAAGTTCAAGTAACAAGTTATTTAACTGGGTAAAGGCTAAGTCTGGGCAAGAGTAATCAATAAGGGACATATCTACTCGGTCCAAAGTGATACCAAATACTTCTCTGTTAGCAAAACTTGCTTTTCTGAATGATGCGTGGTATCTTTCTGTTTTTTCTTGTAAGGGCTCACAGTAAACCGCTAAGTGATCTGTCGACAAATAGCAGTTTATGACGCTGGTTGGTTTGTAAAGCTCTGGTTTTGAGCAAAGAACTTTGTCCAGAATTTTTTCAAACCGAGTTGGATTTTTGTTAATTTGTACAAGGCCGCTAAAGTCGGTCAAGAGGTCACTGTTGAAGTTATTCAAATCTCCAGCAACGAGAAATGTGCAGGCTGGATTTTTTCTAAGTACTATTTCTCTTTTATCCAGTATATATTCAGCGAGTTGTATGTCACAGTTTGAGTCAGGCGGGTAATAAATACAGCCAACAAAAAAGTTTCGTTCATTCAGTACACAGTTGAGCAGTATTGTAAAGACTATACCTGAATTTGTCTCTGGTCGTGTAGCTGTCATTGGGACTATGTACACCCCCTGTTGGGGATGTTGCCGGACTGTTGTTGCTATTTGAGGGTGGGGAGGGGGTGGTGTTGGCGACCAGATTGATCACTAGCAGGTACGGTCCACAAACATGACGTCCCCCGATACTAGCCATGCCCACGTTAGACAATTTGAACCTGAAAACAATAACCTGAGAAACTTGGAACAAAACATGATGACAAGTGTTTATGTAAAAGTCAGAAATGACCTCAAATCTAGCGTTTGAAAATGAATTCATTGTAGGCTTTAGAATGCACCGAACGAGTTCGTGATTTGAATAACTTAATTGATTTGATGAAATCACGTGACAGACTTTCATTGATAAATCATCGAATTGCTCGTCAATTCATTTGAATTTAGATCGATGTTAATCAACTTAACTCACTTTTCTTTCCTCAGTTTGAATTTACTGTGATGAAATCTGAATATGATGAATGTGATGAAAAAAAAACTGTAATTCTTTCTAGGAACTCAACAAGAACAAATTTGTACGTGAAATACGAACAGACAAGCGTGATTTTTAAAACCAACTGAATTTTCAGGTTCAGCAAATCAAACTAATCACCTTTCCTAATAAATTTTTCGTGTTTATATACTGATTGATTCAGTTTTAACTATCTTTTTTTTCTCCAGACCAAATGATTATTGACCTGAAATTACTGTTGATTTACTAACTTACATATGATATTTTTTGCTACTATGTTTAATTAGTTAAATTGACCGATGAGTGTCCATTTTCAAAAACCAAATAACATATAATAATAATAATAATAATAATAATAATAATAATCATAATAATAATAATAATAACTTTTCAAAAAAAGTTGAAGTTCAATACCCAAAAAAAAACAGTCAGATAAGACGAAAACTGCCTCTGCATCCATCACTCCACGTGCAGATGTTCAGTTCTATATAGTTTGCTGAAATAGTTCTTTATACTCACAATAGCCAAACAGAACTTAGTAATTCAAAAATTTGAAAAGAATAAGCGTAAAAAAATGAGTCAATTTTCAACAGCTTTAGCTGCAAAACTTTCTACTGTTCGAAGTATCTGTCCTGAGAATAGATACAGCATATTGTGGAAAACGCCAAAAACGAATATTCAGCTACTCGGGGGCAGACTAGAGGGAATCCCTCATGCGCGAGTGACAGAATGTGCGCTAAATTTGTCAACCAATCAGAACTCAGTATTTGAAATAAGAAATTAATAAGTTTTCATTTAATCAGTTTTAGACATTATAAAGGTCATTGATTAGTGAGAATTTTCGCGCATGAGAAAAGCCTCGGGCAGACTACGATACACTAACTGGTATTCCTTCTTGGGTATGGGTGCGTGTTGAACTCTGTCCAGGGCACTCTCCAGAGTGATGAGTCTCTTCATCTGTGCCCACCACACTGGCCCATACTCCTCGCCCCTCACCAGGTGTCCAAATGCTTCCAGACTGAACTTCTGCGCATGGTACTCCAGCCGCAACAGCCGGCGCAGCCAGAAGCCAACCAGCAGTTCCTTCCATCTCCCACACACCTGGCAGCAAACAACAAATAATAACATAGCTCACAAAATACAACAGCTCATGTATCAAACATAAAAAGTAACACCAGGTGGCGCTGACCTGCAGTTCGCTCATCCAGTCAATATCAGATCTACTCCAAATTGACTTGATGTTGTCCTTGCATGTATGTTTCATATTTTACTCCTGGGTATATAGGACAACTGTTTCGCATTTTTGCGTAAAAGAACGATTTTTTTTTAAATTTTAACCCAAAATATACGATCTTACAAGAAACAATAATAAATTCATTCTTTCGCTTTGCTATATTTTCTGAAATACTTCCATTAGCTTCTTGAATTGAGTGAATCAGTAATAAAATTTTTACCTGCAGCTTTTCAACAGAAAGACCTCTTGATTATACCGGTGGTCCATAAAGCAAAAAAAACTACTCGCGGCAGAGGGGGTAATTCGACTCGACTTACTATTACATATGCCTTTTGTCTGTCCTTATTAACGATGTTCACACCAACAGATTGTACTTTCTACCCGAGAGAATAATGAAGTTTGTGTAATGGCCTACAATTGTAATCAGTAGCAGCCGAGGAGAGAGGGTTGACTGCTTTGCTTTCTTCGCTCCCAAAAACGGGAGGGTTGTACATGTGCCATTTGCGGCGACTGTGCTCGCTCGTCGGATCCACCGCGAGAAAAGGGCACCCCTGTCCCCCTCAATTTTGGTTGCCAAATTTTCCAAAGGATGCCTTCGGTACTTTTTCACGTCAGCCATATTTCAGGTAGACCGGCCTTGGAACTTTTCCAAAGGCTCCTTCGGGACCAATATAAGTTTGTCTTGAGAGGAGGGGAGGGCTTGTAATCTAGCGTATTTTTGTTCACATACCCTCTCGCAGGCGAGTGCGGCGAGGGGGTCCAGAAAAGCAAACACAGTCTCCAGCACTTCCCCGGGTATGCTGTGGATATGGGCAGCAGGGGACATCACCGAGGAAGAAGAGGAAGACCCCCCGCATCCTCCACTCCCAATCAGCCCCGCCATTAATCAAACCTGAAAGACACAATTATCTTCCCACAAGCTCCGCCGACACCGATTCAATTCAGAAGCCTAGCATTTCCAATTGATGCCATTTGAACAAAGCCCTAATTCAGGTTGCAGCACTTTGTGGTAACCCAGTTGTCGCCTTGGAACACAATTCACTTCTTGTCAAAGATTAAGATACAAATTTAAGACACGCAAGAATAGCCAAATGCATAGAATGTTCCGCCACTATGATTTGAGTAGAGAAACTCAACGAGTAAACAAAAAAGGGAAACAATTTTTTTTTTTAAATTCCAATTTTTTATGATTTTTTTCTTCTAATTTCTTGCTAATTTTTATTTTCAGAAGAAGAACGATTAAATTGAGAAAAAAATCTGCTGAGTGGGAGACAGTTATAGCTAAAGTAATGCTAAAATTGCAGTAGAATTAATTTGGGGTTTCTCAAAATTGATTACAGTGTCATCAAATTTCGTTCTGAAAATCGGAAAAAATTCGATGATACTAAACTTGACCCTGAAAATCGGAAAAAATTCGATGATACTAAACTTGACACTGAAAATCATCTTTTTTGAAATTTGGAACCCACAATGCGATGATCATTAGAGCTTTAAAAAAAACAGAGAGGCGGAGCTGAGCTTCGCACCACTTGCTATAGAACACAATCATAAAAAAAAAACAAGTCGAAAACAATAACCAAAATGAAGGCACCCTAGGCCCCTGCTGAAGCTGGAGGTATGCGTTTGATATTTTTTACATTTCCTATATTGATGTGAGACGAAATACATGAATTAAAAAATTAGACTTTACCCAAAACCTTGGTTGTTTCTATAAATAAATGAAAAGAGTGAACATTTTTGAGATTTTGGAATTTTCCCGAAGATATTTTCTCTTACAAAAAATTAAGGAGTAGTCTAGAAGAAACTGGCGTAGAAAATTTTATAAGTAAGCTTCCAACTACCTGATGTGTCGATAAAACCTATGATATCAGATTTGGCAGGTTAGTTATCGAGAAAAGTCCAAAAAATGGCTAACAAATCATAAAGTTGACATTTCCGAGAATCATAGCTTTCATAGCAACACAAATTAGACTTTCATGAGGGCCATAAGATTTTGTGTCAAAAAAATTTGGGCATTGCCGCTTAAGCAGGATAGCTTCGCACTACCCGTTATCTCATTGAACGCATAACCTCAGAATACAGATTCAGCTTTCGAAAAAAGCAAAGATTCAAAAAACGGTCAAAAAAATCAAAAATTTCACTATTCCGATGCCCAAAATTGTGTAAAAAATTTTGGGCGTGGCCGCTAGCGGAGGGAAGCTTTCAAATCCCTTCTATTCTATTCATTGAAACCAAAATCTCAGATTTGGTAGGTTAGTTCTTGAGAAAACAAAAAAAATCAAAAATATCGGTCAAATACTCCCCCACAAGCTTTTTCGAAGGCTGCAGACAAAAGGGTAAAGCAAAAAGAGACTAGAATATTCTGCAAGCACACAAGTGAGCAGGCGGTTTTTCCATGGGGACAATTTTTTTGAAAATCGGTCGAAAGGTTTTTGAAAATAATTTTTTTTTGGAAAAGTGATAAAATTTTCCAAAGCGTGTAAAAAAATATTTATCAAAAAAAAAAACAATCCCGATTCATTTTCTTACTACCTGTATCTATCAAACAGGAATTCTAGGCAAACATTCCGAGCAAGACATTTGAAATTTAAATTAGCAATTTAAAAAACTGATTTAGTACGAAAACTTTTAAAAGTTCGAAGTCTCCCCGGAAACTTCGAACATGAGCATGTCAGCTGCATAGTGATTCATAAATGCTGCATAGCTGCACAGCTGGATAGTCATAAGTGATTCAACTGATTTTGTTAAGCTAGTTGTCAACCCTAGTTTAAAAAACTAGCTTAATTATTTTGATTTCTTATGAGCTTTTTTTGAGGCCGTCAAAATCGGCTCTGAAAAAAAACAGACGCTACGGTGTAAGTGGTTGGAACAAAAATCGCAAACAAAAAATAAAGAAATTTTGAAACGGTTGGAAAAAATTGGCAGAATACACTTTGTTTGAAAAACAGTCAAAGGGTGTGGTGCGTCGTTGTTTAGTCTTAAACATGACGTCAACAGTGTGCTAGCTATTCGTGCTAAATTCCATTATCGGTCAAGGTCGTTACCGACCTGCCAATCCACTCTAGCCTTAACAGCATGCGCTCTCTATTCATTCTCTTCAACTTATGAAAGATTTAAGTTGTATTTACTTCTATTGTCATGACATAATTTAAATACTAATCTATCTATATTATTTATATGATAACATAACAAGGAGAATTGATTCTTGTTTTAAAACTGTCTTTCGACGATTCACATGGCGCAGCCAGCAGTTTCGACCTCAGAGGATCGAACTGACCTGTTGGGCGTATCCGTATTTTGGCATAAACCAACTGCGGACCCACCACATAGCTGGGATTCGTGGATAGGTCAATTCAATTTGGCAATTACTCTAAGAGAAAGATGCGATCCACGAGAGTTATTAAAACCTCCGGGTGTCGTACACGACGATCCTGCTCCAAAACCAGAAGTTGTGGGGGCGGATGAAGATGCTGCAGCAATCGCAAGTCGTATTGCACGTAATGACGCGGCGGTCCGGAAAGTCACAGAAATGAATGAAGAGCGCCGGGCGAAAGGTCCCCGAGTTGCACCAGGAGTGTATTATTTCGAGGTTGAACAACGTGTTAAATCTCGTTTATTTTTCTCGCTCGGCTCAGAAGGGAGGAAAAGATTCCTCCAAAGTTATCCACATGCGGATCTGAGCGAATTAACGTTTCGGGAATTCCATGAATTCTGTGTTCTCCTATTCAGAAAGGAGAAAAATTTCATCATCGAACGTATGCAAATATACAACGCGGTACATTCAGACCGAGAAAGTTTGGAAGCATTCTATTTACGTTTGACTGGACAAGCCGCCCTGTGTGGATGGACAATTGATCAAGAAAAGGAAGTCGTACGAGATATCTTCATTGCCAAAATGAGTAAGGATATTCAGAGAGAATTATGTATTCATCCAGGTGCTACTCCGGAGGATTCTCTGAAATCAGCTTTACTGCAAGAAAAGGGAGCACAAACGGCCACCGATTTGCAAAGGCAACTCGGGAGTTCGTCGTCGTCGGGCAATTATTCCCAGGCAGGTGCTACCTTGGGTCAGAATTCCCGGATAAAACAGGAACCCACCTTCTCTGTCCAGGGTAAGAAACTTTCGGACAGGATTAATCGGGCACAGAATAGTAAGAAAAAGGGGATCAACGAGAAATCGAAGTCGTGTTATTTCTGTGGTAACAGATTCTCAACAAACCACAAGCAGAGTTGTCCAGCCAGAAATGTTACTTGCAGGAACTGTGACAAAAAGGGTCACTTTGCCAAATGTTGTAACTCTAAGAATGTAGCGAACGTGGAAGCTGAGTCAGATGAGACAGTGGAAGAAACTTGTAATTTCATCACGTCCGATAGTGAGTCGGAATTCACTGTTTTATCTGTAGCAGCAGTGAAACCAAGTCTCCCAATTAGGTCAGTGAAAAAGTTGGAGGTGGTCAATGCCGCCACGGGCAAGTTACGTTCCATCCAGATAACACTACGTTGTGGTAAGACGTTTTTCAAGGCAACAGTGGATACTGGGAGTCCAGCCTCCTTCGTGAATAAGAAGACAGCAGACTATATTCTGAAAACGGTTCCTTCAGCCAAGTTCTTCACGGTTCAAGAAAGTCCAATTGATACAGTATACGTTGACTATAATCGGAAGAAAATTGAATTGATGGGTACGTTAATTATGGATGTATCATCTTTGGGATGGCATATCAAGTCTGCAAAATTCCTTATTTCAGAAAATCGCACACGTTGTTTACTGGGTTTGGATTTGCAACCCCAATTGGGAGTAAGAACAACGCAAGTTAGACCAGATCGTCCTTTGGTGGGAGAAGTCTCCCAATCAAACACGAATTTAACATCGGATTCATGGAAATCTCACTTTCACCAGAAGTTCCATCGGGTATTCAGTAGAATTGGCAAAGCCAAAAACCACAAAGTATTCTCTACGTTCAAGTCTCCACTCGTCCCCATTCAAGAAAAGGGAAGGAGAGTGCCGGTGCATATTCAAGATAAAGTTGGTCAGGAAATCCAAAAACTCATACATGAAGGGCACGTGGTTAAATTGAATAAATGTACCAGTGAGTATTTCATCTCTCCGATAGTAATTACGGCCAAGAAAGATGGTTCTGTGAAATTAGCTATGGACGCTAAACCTATGAATGAACAAATTCATAAGAACCATTACCAAATGCCGAATTTGTTGGAACTATTGGACTCGGCCGCCCAGATAATCACGTCGGACATTTCAGGAGATGTTTGGTTTACGTCCTTAGATTTAAAATATGCCTTCAGCCAGATTCCGCTCAGTGAGGAAGTTAGTCGACATTGCAATTTCAATATCGTCTGTGGAGAACAAACTGGCACGTATCGGTTCAAGACGGGGTTTTATGGTCTAACGGACATGCCAAAGGAATTCCAAAAAGCGATGGACAATACTCTCCAGGGTCTGTCAGGAGTATTTTGTTTCCTTGATGATATTCTGATTGTTTCGAAGGGTTCAGTCGAGGATCACAATATTCTTGTAGACAAGGTGATAAGTCGTCTGGATAAAGAAGGTTTTGCTCTGAAATTTTCAAAATGCGAATTTTCCTTGAATCAATTATCTTGGTTAGGATACGATATTGATTCAGAAGGATACAGACCGAAACGTTCTAAGATAGAGGCAGTACTTGCTCTGGAACCACCAAGGACACTCAAACAACTCCGTTCATTCATGGGCATACTCAACCACCTACAACGATTTTTGCCGAATCTTCCGGTCCATTCCGACCAATTACGCCCGTCACTGACGGCAGGTAATAAAAGCAAATTTGTGTGGGGGAATGTCAGCAAATGGCGTTTAGTAACATCTTGCAGTTGATCGCGAACATAACAAAAATGTATCACTATGACCAAAGTCGGAACTCGCGGGTGAAATGTGACGCCAGTCATAGTGGTCTGGGTGCTGCATTAGAACAGGAAAAAGAAGAGGATGTTTGGGTGCCAATTGCTTTTGCATCACGTTTTCTAAACGATCAGGAGAAGAAATACAGTACCAATGAATTAGAACTTCTAGCGATCGTATGGTCGTGTGAGCATTTTCGAACGTACTTGTTAGGGAATCATTTCGTGATTTTAACTGATCACAAAGCAATCATATCTGCATTAAAGACGAACCGCGGAAACAAAACTTATCAGTCACGTTTAACTAGATGGGCTGATAGGTTATTACCTTTCGATTTCGATATCTTCCATATCTCCGGCTGTAAGCTAGGAATCGTGGATTACTTATCTCGTTTCCCAACATTTGAAGCTCCACGACCAAGCAGTTTTGACGAACAATATGTCGTCAAATGCATTAGTCGATTCTTTGATGCGTGTGAATTCTTGGACGGTTGGGCCAGGCATTATACTTCAACTGAGGAGTTATCTGATACCGCGGAAGTATGTCAGGATTATGTCGTGCCTGACCAAATTAACCTAGTTGAGTTATTGGGAAATTGTCAGTCTCGGATCAATTGTCCCAATACCAACAGTTCACTTGTTGCATCGAACAAATTTGGAAACACACCGGTAGAGGGCGTCTTAATTCAAGGCATTCAACCTACATCGAAAGGTTTATATCCGCTAGAGGGCGACAAAATGTTAGCCATTAGTCAAAATAACTCCTCTAATCTATCGATTCTTTCTCCGCTAGAGGGCGTCCAACGTGTTGGCTCATATTCTAGCCAATCAGCGTTGAGTATTAACATGCTGAATTTTGCCACTTTCTCAGCATGGATCACAATTTATCTGCCAATTCTAATCTCATTGTGGATTATTACTTTGGCCGTGAGCGGTTGTCATCTGTTGTCGTCACTAATCAATCTTTTTGTCTTGATTTCATCATATCGGATTGGTTGGAGTGCAGTTAGATTATTGAGTGCTTTTCATTTTCAGACTGCAATGAATCCCAACACAAGTACCAACAACACAAATGACAGTTTCGAGCAGTTGTTAAACCAGTATCTGCCGGTCACTCAACATTGGTTCTCCTCAGATAGAGCCAGGCCACGGTTTCGCCCGGGGGCTGTTCGACCCAGAAGATCATCAACAGTTCAACGAGGAGTGGAACTGAGGAGTCAATATGCCCGTATTCTAGCGAATTTCAGGGCCAAACGGGGCAGGATACCAAAACAACAATCTCAGTCAGTCAACAGTCTCGAGATCTTAAAGTCACCAGTGGTCGCTGCGGACCAGAAATCGTTAACCAGACTGGTGGGAATTCTGGATTCAGATGTATTGTCGGAGCTCACGGATGAAGATGCCAGTTTAAGTCTCATGAAACGAGCAATAATCAACCGGGATTACGAAGGATTTTGCCGTATCGATTCCTATATTAAATCATTTTGGCATTGTGCAGCGGTAGTTGATGGCTGTGTTGTGGTGGATAATAGGATCGCTATTCCCATGTGTCTACGCAAACCTTTGTTATCTCGACTTCATAGATCGCATGCGGGTCAGTTAGCGATGGTAGACGCAGCACAATAAATCTGGTGGCCCCGAATGCATCGGGACATCATCCAACTGTGCAAAGATTGTCCTCAGTGCACAAAGTTTGGTAAGAATTTGAAAGCGAACGTATCATTTAATTCATCCAAACCTTTACCTCTGTTATCGGGTCCTAATGAAGAGCTGCAACTTGATTACGCAGGCCCTCTACTTGACTCATTTGGTAATAGCATTTATATCTTGGTCGCAATCGACCGTTACTCAAAATATCCGTCGGCTATGATTACGCGTTCCACGGGAGGACGGAAGATCATTAAATTTCTCAAATCATATATTCAACAGCACAGTATCCCCAAATCCATTAAAACAGACCAGTACTCCGGTTTTAAAAATAAATTAGTGCAAAATTTTTGTCTAGAGAAAAATATCGCACAATATTTTTGCCCGGTGGGGTACCATCGTGGTTGCGGTCTAGTTGAACGGTCGATACAAACAATTAAACGTCGTTTGGGCGCCTCTCGGTTAAGTTCGAATTTCTCTAATGTTCAGGATACTCTTAGGAATATTATTGAAGATATCCGGGTTACAAAAAATTCAGTTACCGGGGTCTCACCGTTTGAACTTCATTTTGGTCGTCCTCCGAATACGGAGCTATCTATAGCGGCTGATCGCTTATCTTCGGGAATTCATTTAGACAACCAACGTTTGGAACGGGACTTGCTCACACCAGAGCAGCGACGGGAGCAGTGCGATAGTCGTCCAAGAATCAAAGTCGTCAAGAAAGGGCAATCAAGCCCGACGGTGTCTCCACATTTTGGTGGAACCACAGACTCAGTAGCGGATACACCCCACTATCGTGCACTGGAGAGCTTGGCACAATCCGCAAACCAGTGGTTGTCGTTGAAAAAGTCTCTGACGCATCAGGAGGGAGTCAAAGCCCTGAAGACCCTGACGGAGAGAAATCAAATCCTCGCAGCCACTCTTCGTTCGAACTTGTCCGCTGGTACCCTCAGATTCCGGAACCAAATGCCAACGGAACAAATTCGCCCTTCGTTGCCAAAACGTAATTTGGACTATTTAGTATTGAACGAACCAAATAAGGTCGAAATTTTTCGGAAATTTCTAAATAGGAAGTCTGGCAGAGAACTTTTCAAACCTTATAAGGGCAAAATCGTGCGGATCACTGAATCCACATATATTTCTGATAAAGGGAAAGTTATTAGAAGGAATCACTTGGCAGTACGTCTTAAATCAACCCAACTAAGTTTTTCAGGAAAACAACTAACTCCTGTGAAGAAAGGGCAGAAACGCCCAATCGTGCCATCTTCAACATCATCATCGGAAGACAATAGGCCTCTCAAACAATCGGGTTCCAGACAACGTATTTCAGCGAAAACAGTGTACGTGCCTGCTCATTCGAAATTTCCATCTATGCCAGTTTCACATACTCCACCCCGCAGTCAAATGGTGGCGTCGAAGTTAAGGGAAGATGCAACTTCGGAGGCTCCGGGTATACAGAACATCCCGTATCCACAGCATTCTACTCCGGTGGTAGACTTGACAGTTTCTTCCTCTACGTCGGGTAATCCAGGAACAGAGGCTCCTATTAGCGTCAAACCAAAGTGTATTAGCATCAAACCGAAATCTACAGTTATTGTCTCTTCCTCTAAGTCTAGCAATTTAGGAACGGAAATTCCTATCAGCATCAAGTCAAAGGCGCCAACTCCAGTAATGACCCCAGCAGGCTCAGATCTTATTCCCATCTCTTCAGACGAAGAATCGTCAATCTCGAAGTCACAAGTAGGAACTTCATCAAAATTGGTAGCATCGGGCTCTAACACCCAAGATAGTCACGGCATACTTTCGGAACAGGATGGGAATATGTCTTCATCGTCAAATTCGTCACGGTCTTCATCTCGACGGAAAAAGCAGACTACATTCTACGGTAGTCCTATTAGACATTCAGTTAATATCATTCAGTCCCAGTCAACAACTACTCCTCCGTCAACACCTGCCTCTCCGGACAAGAAAGTCCGTTTTGTCGTGTCTGGTTCTGATCGATCAAACCAAGTAGGCCAGTCTAGGGCAGATATACCCGAGGATTCCGCAGTTTCACATAGGAAATTTATTCGCTTCCCCAAAAAGAGTACTTCCGACTATCCTTCGCGTCGGTCAGATAGATAAAACTTTTGTATTTATCGAATTCGGCATTTGGTCCAGAACTTAAACAAACTATTGTACCCTGTTCTTGCTACAAACTTTAAAATTCATATCACACCTTTATATATGATAGTCAGTTTCCATAAATCTCTTTGTCTACCTGATGTTCTTCACGGTTTTCATATGTAAAAGCGCATTTAGTAATTTTGTACTTTAGAGTAAAGAAATTCAAACGCGGTTTGAATTCTTTTCCCGAGAGGGGGAAATGTGGTGCGTCGTTGTTTAGTCTTAAACATGACGTCAACAGTGTGCTAGCTATTCGTGCTAAATTCCATTATCGGTCAAGGTCGTTACCGACCTGCCAATCCACTCTAGCCTTAACAGCATGCGCTCTCTACTCATTCTCTTCAACTTATGAAAGATTTAAGTTGTATTTACTTCTATTGTCATGACATAATTTAAATACTAATCTATCTATATTATTTATATGATAACATAACAAGGAGAATTGATTCTTGTTTTAAAACTGTCTTTCGACGATTCACAAAGGGTAAGCACCAAGACAGTCATTTTTTTTAAACAAATTATTCAACTTAAAAAGCGTATATAAACATGATCTAATAGTCGATCATAATTGATCAAGAAATATAAGAGAGCGAGAAGAAAACGCTAAATAAACGTACTTGGGTATAAACCAATCTGAATCAGCAATAAGTAGGAGTAATCGTATTAGTAACTAGAAAGTCAATTGGCAAATACTAATAAGCAAAATGGTATTTAAAAGCCGTAAAATGAAAAAGGATAGTCAAATCGGGAAAAGGTGGTTGGCTAATTGCACTTCCATTTTATTCTCTGTTCAACTTAGAAATGAAATAATAAGTACCCATAAATTATGTCTAAAAGTCTCAGAAGGAAGTTTGGTATCACTTCGCTATAAATCAGACTTTACAGCGAAAAAAGCATCAAAAAACTTATTACCTCATATTATCAAGCGTCAATATTATACCTCCGAACGCGAAAAAGACCATCGCGAAAAAGAAATAGCAAATATTTAGAGAATTTAACAGAAGAAAAATAATGCAGTAATAGATTAAAGTTAGTGCAACAAGAAACCCGAAATTTGATAACTTCAGCTCAAAATTGGAGCCATCCAAAACTGAATTTTATTTGGCTTTCAAGGATAAGCCTGAATGAAATCTGACTTTTCATATCAAAATTCAATTTGAATACTAATGCAGCATCCAAATTGTATTTCAGAATAGCCGTGCCACTAGGTGGAAAGGGTGGTTTAATTTTAGGAAAGAAAAAGATAAAAACGGACAAGAACTTTTATTTTATCCAACTTAAAAATCGATATAAAAATGTCACTCAATTGATTCAAATTAACAAAAAATGGCCCATCTAAATTTACGTAGCAAAAAGCAGCGACCAAAGTGTAAGCTGATTCTATTTTAGAATCTACTTAAAAAGAAAGTGTCCCGCCATTAGCAAGTAAATATAGGCTGAAAATTACGACTCCGATATTTTAATTTTAATGCATAAAATACAGCAAGTCGGAGCCCATTTCCTGTTTACAAAATTTACCACTGAAATAATGGTGCAAAACGGAACCCAATCGAAGGGACTTTGCGAAAAGGCACATGTTTCTATGGAAAATAGGCCATTTAAACCATGCGCAGTGGAACGTGAAATAATTTTCCTTTAATGAATGCGTCAACGCTTGCTAAGATGTAGAGCGTAGTAATAAATGGTACGGTGTATCAGCACACAGAAAAAGGAAGCCAAAGTGCAATTACCTTTTTTCCATATAACAAAAACGTGTACCCAGTTGCTCTGCAAGCAGCACAATGTTACGGTAATTTGTGCAACAAAATTTAAATTGAACATAATTGTTGGCAGGAAATTTCAATAATTTTTTCCAAACCTTTAACCATTTTAATGTATAGCATTTGATAAAAAATTAAGCTTCAAATATATATACTGGGCAACAATTTAGTAGAACTCGGGCCAATGAGGGAAAAATCAGTCTGGAAATCAATTGAAACTCGGTCTGAAACGCGAAAATATTCCGACCACTTTTTCTCAAAACAAAGCAAACTTTTTTGTGATATCTTTTTAGAATCGGAATTGCCACTGAAAGCGCGTTAAGGTGATACTTAACTCTTAACACGAGGGTCTTGCGTTCGAATCCCGCTTCGGTCACGGCTGGAGGGGTCCCAGTGTCATCCGCCTCCTCAAGGTGGGACCGGCTGCGGCAAAATGGATGACATCTCCCCCTCCCCCACGGTTGGTCCTGCACTGAGCAGGCCGGGGGCTAATAAAAAAAAAAAAAATACTTAACTTGGCGCCTTTGCCTTCTCGTTAAGCATGTTAAAAATTGCAAAGAAGTAAGAAAAACAAGTATATAATCTTTGAAAAATACAATTCATTCTGCTGACTGAGCCAACTGCTCAAGCTATCTGATTGTTCCCACCACTGAAAGTGGAGAGAAATTTTGTCCTTGTATGTGTTTTTTTTAGTTTTTTCAAACGAAAAATTAGGTACCACAAATAATTTTTAGAATGGGACAAATGATAAATCATATTAAACCCTATTAGTCGGGAATCGATTAACATGATTTTTTCTCAAGTGTTCCAGTATCGAGAAGGACTGGTTTGAAATTATTGGTTTTTAGTCTTTTTCGAGCGAGCAAAGCAGGCGAAGCAGAGCTCCGCAACACTTGCGATGCAAAATACACATTGCGCAACAAAATAGTCAATGAAAACAAAAGAAAAAGAAAACTCTGAAAAATTATGTTGGAACATAGCCAACTGACAGCTGGAAAAGAGTTATGAACGCAAGGAAACTGAAAAAAAAACTGACTTGTTTTTTCAAAAACCTCCAACTTTTGAATTTCGAGGAAAAAAATAGATAGCCTTAAAGCTCTTTGAAATTGTAGAGCTATTTCTGATCGACACTTTTTTGTTAAAACTAGCCCAATTTGAGAAAACTGGATCAATAGGCAAAACTTTCATTTCACTGGGAAATCTGAAAATTAATTTCCATTTTCGAAATTAAAAGTCGATCACGTTTTTCGTGACCTTTACACTTTTGCTGTTCGATAGTGGAGTTTGCCTTCTTTTTAACAATGGAAATGCATTGAACTTGAAAAGAAATCACAAGTCAAGCCGCGAAAAATCAAAATTGAGCGTCAACAACTTTCAAGACTTTTTCCTGAAAAATAAAAAAAATCAGCAAGACCTATATAAGAGTACTCACTACGTCATTACTCTTCAAAAAATTATTTGAAAAAATAACTTGATAAAAAAACAGCTACAAAAACTTCATAATTGTGTCAGATGAAAGTCATAAACAGTGTTAAAGAAATGGAAATCATTTACCGAGCGGCAACAAAGTCGACAAAATTCGGGTCGAAACCTGTTGAGCCGAAAAAAAACTATTGCCATACAAAATTTCACTTTATTTATTACGACCCATCCAAACTGAAACACATAATCCCAAACGTATATATTTTGCCCTGGGTCAATTTTACATAAACTGAAGCTGTTTGAATATTTAAAAACAAAACAAAAAAATTGAGAAAACTCAAAATCAGTCATGGTAAATTTACAAATTTGTGAAGTTTCAGTTAAAGTAAAAACTGTACAAATTGGAACAAAATTATTACTTTAAAAAATAAAACAACAAAAACTCCTGCACATGAAAAAAATTGCGTTTAAAAAAATTGAAAATTAACCGACAGAAACTAGGACGAAAACCAGAGCAGTCGTTGCCGAGTGAGTTAGGCACACGTCTCTCAACACGAGGCTCATGCGTTCGAATCCCACTTCGGATACCGCTGAAGGGGTCCCAGTGTCATCCGCCTCTTCAAGGTGGGACCTGCTGCGGCGAAATGGATGACATCTCCCTCCCCCGCGGTTGGTCCTGCATTGATCAGGACCGGGGGCTAATAAAAAAGGACGAAAACCAGGAAACCGAAAAAACAATGGATGAATTCCTATTAAAAAATAATTACAACCTAAAACGGACTGGAACTAATTACTAGCTAAATGATATTACTTTCATTTCAAATTTAAAGAAATGGGGCATGTAAGAGGAAACATCCTCTAGTAGTGAAGATCCTCTAGAAGTGATCCTCTAGAAGTGAAGATCCTGTGGAAAAGTTGTCTACGGGAAAAAAATCTAGTAACCAATTGCAATACCCTTGCTTATCGCAAGGGTAAAAAAAGCTAATATTAAAACGCTGGAAAAATTAGTTTTGCTGCAGGAAAACTAGTTTTTGAAACTTAAAACTGCACTTCCTCGACAATTAAGTTTCCGAAATCTACTAACATTTGAAATTTATGAAATTTGATTTCTCATTCAATTTTTGAGGGTAAACGTAGTATATTTCTTATTTAAATGATAAGATTTCTTCTCTTCTTCTCGTCGCGAAACGTACAAAAATCGATACAAGTTTGCATAAATTGATAGATTTTTAATGTGGTCGGAATTCAGTGCTACTTGCACAGCAATGGTGAAAACCAAGTGCACAAACGAATTGCAGAAAACATATGCTACTACATCGCTGCCTGACGAAATGAAGCACAAAATTTGAGCACAAACTTAGGCTAATTAGGTGGGAAAAACGGAAGTCGTACAATAAAACAAGCGTTCGCTTACGTAATAATAGCTACAATAAGGGTTCTTCTGCATCAACAGCTAATCGCTGGCTCTACTCACTTGCTTGCTCTATAAAGCAAAATTGTCAGATGAGGTTTTCTGGACACAGAGAAAACTTATAGATATCAATCGAAGCACGACTGAAAAGGCTTCAATATAATACATGGCTCCAACTCATCTGATAATTGTGTTATTCCTGATTTAGCGTGGAAAAACTAGAAAAAAAACGTGGCCGAGACACTTGCAAAAAATTCAATGAAGTTTCGAACTTATGATTGACGATTTGTTGATAAAATTAACCCACTTTGAGAAAAATGGATCGATAAAAAAACTTTCCGCTGGGAAATCTGAAAAAAAAGGTTACTGTCGAAACACTTTTGCTGCTCTACAGATGAGTTTGCCTTCTCTTTAACAGAGGAAATAAAGTGAGCGTGAACAAAATTGAACGTGAACAAATTTTTACTGAAAAAAATCATCCCGACCTATAAAAGAGACTGAAGTACGTTCATCGACTCTTAAAAGCTAACGAGGAATTGACACTCCGATCTCCTGATTTCCAGCTACTTACCTTGTTCCATACGACTATCAGATTAGTTACTTACACTCCGCAATGGATACTACAAATTATGTTTTAACAACTACGTTTTAAATACACCCATGAACGGACATTAATGGTTGAAATAAGCATAGCCGGAAAAAAAGTTCACGAAAACTATAAGAAATTCGTGCAAAATCCTTAAGCAGAAGAAAAACACAGAAACACCCAGTGCCAGTGGCATTAAATGAAAACATCCTAGAACAATTTACTGCAATTGGGACTTTGATCTTTCAAAAAAATCCAATAAAAAGAAAACGTCTTTAATTTAGCAATAAAAAAGTTTTCTACAGGATTACAAAAATAATTGCTGATCACATGAGTAATAATTTCTCGCCAAATTTAGCAGTCGCAGATCTAGGAAGAGACTATCCAGTAACAAGTATGCACTGTGCACACTGTACTGAAGGTAAATAAATTTTTCCAGTAGTAAAAAAGGCTAGAGGGGCAATATAAAAAAGTCTATGGGAAAATAAAACTGATTCGGCTGTGTGTTTTCATGTACCGTAATTTAATGACTTACCAAATCAGCTGCGGCACTCCTGATCCCCTACAAGCCAAGCGGAAATTATTTTCAGACCAATCCCTAGGCCATCGCAATTCAGATTCATTCAATTGAAATGAACTAACAGGAACACAAATACAACAGCTACAGCACACAATTTAAAGTCACCTTCATTTCATCTGAAATCAAATTAATTCAAAGATATCGTGATAAAAGATCAGAGCAAGTTCAGAATTTAGATCGGGTGGGTAAGAGCTAACTGCTTTCTCACCAATTTTGACACCCTAACTTTCAACGGTTCGACTTTCGGTCTAGATACTATTCCACACCTCTTTTGGTCGTCTTGCTTTTTGACAAACTTTCACGATTTTTTCTAGCTGTCATTTTGATTTTATAAATTTTTATTGTTCACATTGTGTTGTCAGACAATTAGAGCAGAAGTAATGGTAGAAAAAGGGGCAGAGCGGGAGCGGTCAATCAACAGCACTGCCTTCAATGACACAGTGGTAGAACTGAAGAGTGCCATTTAAAATAAGAAAAAAATATAATTTATCGACACTGAAATTTGTCTGTTGTGATAGATAAGAATAATTAACAGTAATAATCTAAGTTCCAAATACAGCACCATTAGTTGCATACAACAGGTTATAGGTTCAGGTCCTTACTGGATTCGCCATCTATGAGCCAGAGAACCGATTCGTCCTGCTTTCCCGAAGGGACAAGAGACACTGGAATAACGTCTGAAGTTTCACCGTCCACCAGAACCCTCTGTTAACATAAATATACTATGCTATACTATACTATGCACACAATTGCATTCCGGATATGAAATAAGAACTTAATTCTAAGTGTAGCTTTCCTCTCATCTCATTCCGCTCTTCCTTTTATTTAGTTTCAACCATACTCAATTAATTTCACCGCCTCAACAACAAAATTACAGGATTCTAAACTACAGGATTCAAAAGAAGTGTAAATCAGAACAAAATTTAAAAAAAAATACATTTTGGAAAAAAATATCACCTAACCTTCAATTAAATCATCACCATTAAACTTAATTAGAGCCAGGGGCGGATCTAGGATTTCGAAAATTTTGACTTTTTTTAGTTCGACCAAACTGATTTTTCGAGCTCTCCCCAAGCACTGTTTTGCCCCCATTTCGGCTAATTTTTCTGCGCCGCAGGCAAATTTTTAAAAAAATAGTCAAAAAAGCCGTTTTTGGGCACTTTTTGAAAGTGCGTTTTTTTGGCGCGCGCTCCCCCTCAAAGTTAGTATATATTGGCGCCAAAGGCGCCTTTAGAAAATTTTTAGAGTCGGTCGGCCAAAATTGGATTTCTGAAAAAGTATCAAAGGGGGGACCCTTTGGGTCGGCAGGGGGTCGAATCCCTGAGGGGGGGGGGCGTCCGCCCCCCCCCCTAAATCCGCCCCTGATTAGAGCAAAGAAAAATTTCAGAATAATGCATTACCTTGACAATAGGCTGTTTGCCGGATCCAGTAGCGAATACTATCTTTTTAGCTGCTGCTCTAACCGCAGGCAAAGTCAGAGTCACTCTCTCGGGAGGGGGCTTCGGCGAATCACTGATAGGAACAATGCCCACTTTTGATTCCTGAAGTATATTTAAAATGTCTTCACTAAACTCAGTTATATTTCGAAAACGTTGAAAAGAGCTAACCTAGTCCGACAGGTGTGAAAAAAAAAAGTTGCATGAAATTCTTCCCAATTCCAAACTACCCTAAGCCATTCTACTCTGCATTAAAAGCAATTAAAAAATTTACGTAATCTCTTTGAAGAATCCGAGATAGAATACATCCGAAAACATTAAAGAACCATTAAATTTCAGAAGAAAAAGCCATAAAATTTCACAGCAACGCAGTTTTCCGACTGTGTTGTTGTTTCCGTCAACGGCCTTGAAATATCAAAAGTTTTTGATTGTTTCAAATTCTGAGTTTCAGTTGGTCGAGAAACGTTTATATAGAAGAATGGCTACCTTAAAACAGAGCCTTAGCGCCAAGATGCCATCCATCCTTATACAGCATTTGGTGTTCGGATCAAGTCAGGAGCGGCTTCCTTCGAATGATTCTATGAACTCAAGGGAGAGGAGGGCACGCAACTGTTGCTTATCGTTTCATTTATAAGAAAACTTCGTTAGAAATAGTATGCAACCTGGTCTAGCTTTTCACTAAGCGCGTTGCCCAGATCAAAACCGTCTGCGACATTTTCTATTTCCTGGTCAACAGCAAGCTCAGCCTTATCAAGAGGAATAAAATGTATCGCCGGAGTGAGCTTCTGGCCAATATGAGCTCGTGGTTGCTTTCATATAGGCGCTTAAGTCCAACTTCATTACAGTTGAAGGCTTGAATTAAATGAAATTAAACCTTCAGCTGAGCTGCAAAAAATGGACCGAGGAGAAGTTGAGCGCTGCTTGCTCGAACTCGAATGCACTATAATGCGATTTTTCAGACAGATCTGATAGACCCTTCAAGAATTTCTTGTAGGTGTGCTCAGGTTTATTGGGAAGTATAGCACAGAATCAGGGCGGGTTAACTTCATTCATACGTATACCGACTGTATACATTTGGAAAAATTGCTACGTACAGCCTTTAAAGGTTCTATTGCAACGTCAGAGGTCTAAGTTCAGTTGGAGGGCATTCGATTTATCGCGATCGCCACGAACAAGTACTCTCTCGGTATCGTCAATGCCACTAACGAAAAAGCAAAAATCGTCGTAATAATTCGCACTTCGGAGAGTAGTCAAAAACTGACGGCGGATTAAACGGCCCTTTAATCATTTTTTGCCAATTTTCTTTTTTAGTTATTGATATTGAGGATTAATTAAAACCTGCTGATTGTGCTAAATTTTTTTAGTTATTAATATTGAGGATTAAAACCTGCAGATTGTGCTATTGTGCACAAACTGCTCGGAAATTTGACCGATACTAATTATGAGTCTACATGGTGAATTGAAATGAATTAACACTTCCATACATAATCCTATTACCTCATGAGCTAGATGACAAAACTCAACTATGGTGTTATCTGGCATAGGTAAGTTGGTAGAGAGGTTAAAATGGTATAGGCTAAAACGCCAGAGGGTAGATTTCAATAAATTAAATTGCTCTACTACCAAAAAATAATGAACTCAAGGAACGAACGCTTAAGAAAAAAAATTTCTCAACTCGAGTTTCAGAGAACAAATTAAGGATCACTTAAGCGCTACCACTGGGGAGCGGGTTGAGGGAGAAAAAGCTAAATGGACGCATGAAATATGTTAACAGCCGCTTGAAAACTATCTGCAAAAGTGTGCGCCTAGTGCTAGTCAAAAGCCTTATACTAGATAAATTATCACAGATCAAATGTGGATTTAGATTGTTCATTTGATAGAACCCGATGAGTATACATTCTGACCATGGAATTCCACTATAGAAACAAAAAAACTAGCGCATGTGAACGTTTTATATTATAATAGCTTCAAACAGCCAAAAAAAATAAATCTAACTGTTTGATATAATTCTCCTAGCTTGGCGGACGAAATAATTCAATTGATCGAAATGGACAATGAGGAGAGATATTGCTCAATTGATACCGACTTAAATCACGAAAAACCAAGAATCAATTTCGATTAACAATTTTTTCGAGAAAAAAAGCGATAGATATTTTTATTCAGTAAGAAAATGTACACAGCGGGTAGCTGCACTTCGTAAATACACGCAGAAAAGGACAAAAGTAGCTTAAAAATGAAAAAAAGCTAAAATAAAATAGAAATTGCCTCGAAAAAAGGAAGTAGTAAAAATACGTCACTTAATTATAATAGGTAAATTATTACAACCAATAAGCATCATTTCAATTTGGAAAGACTGTGGCGCTGATGCGTGAAGCATCATAGATAACTGCAGAAAATTGCGCATATATTAGTCAATTGACAATAAGCCGACTTTCAAACCTCCAAAAGATAAGGAAACATGATCGCAGATAAAAATCAATTTACTATGAGCTCAGCGCGTCGATATCCTCAAAAATGTATAAAATTTTCACTCGTTAAATAATTTCGATAAACTTTGTACAAAATCGGTCCACTAGAACATGCTACTTAGTTTGGAAACAATTCACTGTCCATTTAACACTACGCTTGCAAAAATACACGAGACGAAGCTGCACTTTGCAACTACAAACGAAAAACGACAGAAAGTAGCTTACAAAAGAACGGCTTAGAAAAAGCTCAAGTTTTGAAAAACAAATGACTTCTACGGGATTTGAACCTGTGTTGGGACACTAAAGTAATGGAGTCGGTTGCCGTAGAGGCTCGTGCCACTGAATGTTGCAGCAACCAAACACTAGGCACTAGTAGCTTGAAGAATAGATGTTATTAACTGCCACTACTATGCAAAAAGAATGCAACAAAACTGAGCACTTTTATTTGCAAGTTGAGTTCGAAAAATATGGATTTCGCAATATGACATACGCTTGCGAGTGTGAAAATACCCTTTTGAAACCACAAACCATCCAAACTTCAATCGCGATATGCATCGAGAGCGTAATTTGATTCCGATTTGAAGTCAAGTAGAAATAAACCCAACTTTAAAAACTCATTTTGAAAAACTCAAGCCCAAACATAGCCAACCGACAGTTGGAAAAGAATCATGAACGCAAAGAAAGAGAAAAAAAATTGTCTTGTTTTTTTTTAAAAAAAAAACGTCAACTTTGAATTTCAAAGAAAAAAATATGTGGTCTTAAAGCTATTTGAATTTCAAAAACAATTTGTCAATTGGATCTATAGGCGAACTTTTTATTCCGCTGGGAAATCTGTAATTTAAATCCCACTTTCGAAACTCGAAGTCGATCACGTTTTTCGTGACCTTTACACTTTTGCTAATCGATAGTGTGAACGCGTGAGCAACTTTCGACTTTTTCCTGAAAAACAAAAACAAACAAAAACAAGACTGCTCGTATCAGGGCGAAGCCCTGAATGTTCCGACTGCCTATTTAGGTTTATGGAGCAGTAATAACATGGAAAAATTAGCTGTAAGAAGAAAAAATGACAATTTTTCTTAAATTTGAAATTTTTTATGAAATAAGCTTCTTCCAATTAATTTGGAACGATTTCTAAGATTTCTATATTTCGCGCTATTAAAGCGTAAGCGGAGGATTAAATCTCCGCTTACGCTTTAATAGCGCGAAATATATCGCGCGTTAATTGTCCCAAATTGGCCAAAATGGCAACCTTTAAACCCCCATAACTTTACGAAAAAAGATCACAGGTTAAATATTTTTCAAATTTGAGCTCAGGACAACAATACCTTTCGAATGATATTAAAAAATTCCGTCAAAAATGGCTAGTTAAAAAGTCGAAATTTGTCTGAAGAAAAAAAAACCGACCCCGAGCACAACTATTCCGTTACTTTCGTATCGAAAGTCGGAATAATAAACAAAAAAATCACCAAGACCTAAATATGAGTATTTACTACGTTTATGACTCTGATTAAGCAAAAATTTACTTCGGATATTGACAGAAAATTGTTTCCATATTTAATTATTTTTCAGAGATCCAGACTTTGAAAATATCCGGATTTTGTGATACCGACTGCTGAAGATTTTGGTCAATCCTGTTGTATTGGTCGCGAAAAATGCAGTTTTATGAAAAATAAGTTTGCACTCAACATTTTTATTAAAAAAAAAAACATAAATCCGATGGACTCATTTAGATGAAAAAATAGCAGTCTCACTAATGTTTTCTGCCTCCGAATTAATAGCTGGTTCTTTATATTGAACTTAACGCCCATTATGATGGATGTTTAGTTCAAGCTGAGCATGCAAGATTAACAAAAAAAATACGCTTATTTTTACTCGACCGAGGGGAGAGTGCTCACCATATAGCGGTTAAAGGCTAAGTTTTGCATAAGTTGCATAAGTGCTGAATCTAAAACATATTCATTTCAACAAACCGTAAAACTTGACAGAAAAACTGACAGAAATATGTGCAGTACTTGAATGCAACGTGTACAGCTGCAAATCGACATCGTTTTCTTTGATTTAAAAGGAAGTAGCAGATAAATATAGGCCTTCCAATACAAAAACATCGCTTCGTTTATATCCGTTTCGGAATGTTTGAGGCCATATTTTCTTATAACATTAAAGCAAACTTCCCTAACAATAAAATCGTAAACTGATATTATTTTAACGACGGTGGATTAAGACTCAAAATTAAGTGGTTAAGATTTGGAAGAGTTTTCCTCATTGTTTCACTTTTTTTCCATGCTCAAGAGGATACAAAAATGGGACAAAGTGAACAATCTCTCACCAAATAAATAAGGGTGAAGATTGTTCACAGGTTTAAATGTAATATTTTTCAGCCAACCAGATTTGAGCACCGTTTATGCAACCCTTACGGCTTCAATTTGTTTTGGGGTAGAGATTGTTCACTTTCACCCTTAAGGGACGGGGGGGGGGGTGAGTGTTCACATCGGACCAAAATGAACCTTCAAAAGAGGATGAGCAGGAAACAGTGAGCACGTGTGGCCATCCGGTCCAATTCCGAGAAGCGCCAGATCTAGGGACAAAGAGGGACCAGTTGAAGCTGCCATTTTGGCCTCATAGTCAGAGGCACACTCTGCCAGAGACAGGTCGGGGTTGATGGGCACCAGGGCTGAGACCAGGTCCACAGAGCCACCAGTCCACACTTTCTGACAAAATCACCCAGCTTGAACTTTATTTGTGTACTTTATATCTCATAGATGAAACTCCAAAACAATCCTCACAAAAACACTTGTATCAGTAACAAGAAAAAAATCAGTACTACAGAGTTGTAACCGAAATATTTCATTTGAAACTCAGCCAAAAAGACTCTGGTACTCGAAAACCAGAAAGTAAATGAAGCATTGAGATCTAATGAAAACAAAATTTGCTACCTTGTACGCTCCATAAGTGGAGTCTTCGCTTTCGTAGGACACTTTCCGCTCATCGCACAGGAATATTTTCACCTGTCCATTGTCCAAACCAGCTTTCAAAACCTCGTTGTCAGCAAACAGCTCTGGAAAAAAATTCAAACAAGAACGATCGAAAATACATAGCATGAGCCTTTTAGGAAACCCTTTTACATGATAATTAAAACTGGTCAGGTCAATAAATAATGAAAACCTTTTTTCTGAACAAAACATCTGCTATAAGCTAGACGTATGATCAAAACCTAACCAGATTAAGGCAATTTAAACTCTCAGAAGTGCTTAGCAGGTACCAAAAAAAAACAAGAGTAGCCGGTTGTTTGGCAATTAGCACATAACGCCGAACACAGTTGTAACTGCCAAATAAGATAAGATAAGCGTTCAAAACTAAAAAAAAACAATTGACTTTTCGATGGAAACTCTTTCATTTTCGAAACTAAAAGAACAATATATCATCTCAAAGCTCTTCCAACCTCATGAAATTTGTGATTGAAAAAACAATTGAAGAAATTTGGATCAATACACGTTAAAACGCACTTACGAAACTAACGTCAATCACGTTGTTTTTTTTGTGTCGACGACAACAAAATTAAAGGTGATTTGCTTTAAACTTTATCTATATATCTTAACATGAGCTCACTAACTGGGTAGATTGGACAGCAGCTTAGTCATGGATCCACCCGACACTCCAAGCGAGAACTGCTTCTTCATCTGCAGACACTCGAGAGCACTGTGCACCACCTGTTCACACATGGCCACGCCCACTTGCTCCACTGAGTCATACTTGCTGAACTTCACTCCTCCGCTGCTCATTCTAGCATCTGAATCAGGGCTGGGAATCCATTTTGACCTTTTTTAAAACAGTTTTACTTTCACCCTGTATAAGGTGGATTAACGAATTGCGGAAATTGAGGAGACTACAATACGAGTAAGCGCGAGCCAATAGAAAATTATTGTTGTCAGCTGACGCAGTAGTATCTTAAAAGGTCTCGATTTTTGATCAAGTAAGCAGAGTTAAGAATTTTGAATTGGTTGAAAAAAAATGTTTTCAAACAGAGGCACTAAAACCTGACTGGCTGTTTCAGTTTTACAATCTTGCTATTCCATTTCAAAAAAAATAATGGAAAAGTTTGCATAAATTCCCAGCCCATAGTTTTTTTTTCCACTTTTAATCAGCCATCTTCTATAGCTCTCATAAGAACTGAACAACACGACCAAGCATAGCATCAATGCCCGCACACTGATTGGCCGATTATGCAGTGCCAAATTGTAGCCGAACAGCATCAGAGTTGATCTTAGCTCGTCATATTTTGCGCGATTAAGTAATAAATCATCCTTACAAGCATACAACAAGACAGTTATCTAAAAAAACAGTTAAGCCATCAGAAAGGCACCTGAACAGAGTTGTTGGCCCCTTGTATCGAGAGCCCAAATTTTTCGTCTATTTGCAACCTTTATTCTGTGTACTAGTTTGCAGCATCATAAGCTTTTCGATACGTTCCCGCATATGCGTGTCCTTTGCTTGTTTCACAAAACTCAGATTCCACAACACGCTTCTAAAATGTTCACCGCCCGTTCCTCAAAAACACTTTTTTTTGAAGCTTTCGCAAAACTAATGTGTACTTGTGTGCTACTCATAGTTGCAGAGCATCAGGTTACACTTGGGTAAAATGTAGAATAAAGAATGTGAAGCCAAAAGAGCGATACAAAGATTGAGCGTTGTCTTGATATGTTGTTCCGACTTTCGAGTAAGAAAGTAAGAATTATATATGCTCGGGGTGGTTTTTATTCAGTCCAATTTTCAAAATTTTTTCACTCGGTAGATCGATCCATGGATCATCGTGGTCCCAGAAGGAGCCCCCTCGCCACTAGAATATCCTAGCATAAAAATTGCAGTGAAACGCTTACAAATAGACTAACAGGACTATAAGAGCGCTGTGATACTTTGATGCTGAGAAATAAACGCGCATCATTTACGCAAGGCAAGTTATTCCGCACCACAAAATCATTCCAAATTCAATTGAGGCAAGCTTATTGGCTTATTAATTCCATACAAAATTCTTAATATTCAGATTAAAATTCATAGATTGTCAATATTTCATTAACCAAAAACTATTCGAGGCCAGTTTATGGCCAGTCGGAACATTCAGGGCGTTGCCGTAATACGAGAAGTCTTGTTGAACTTTGTGATCAACGTTTCTACAGCTCTTTCAGTGGCACTTTCCTATAATCAATAAACTAATTAAAAAGTTATTCCGCCAAAAAATACAGCTCATAATTGCTTTTATTAGAACCAGCAAGCCTGTCTTCAATAATCAATTGGCTCGCAAAACACTTGTTGTTAATCTGATCAAGCTATTCAAGCAAGGAAACTTCGATCAATTTCAAGTTAAGCCATATCGTAAATTGGTTTGAAAAATTATAAATTTCAATGAAACGAATCGGTTAGCGAAAATTTTAGGTTTTTCTAGGAAACCTATTCGAGCTAAAAAAAAACTTTGAAAAGTTTCAAGTCAAAATACTAAGCATTTCGGATGGCGAAAAGTTTAAAGTTTTTCTGTTGAAATCATTCAAGCGATGAATCTTTGAAAATTTTAGGTTATTTGTTAGAGCAAATCGGTCCGCGAAAAAACAATTAATTCCGAAGCAAGCTATTCGTGCTGTGAAACTTTGAAATATTTCAAGTACTTTCACATCAAATCGTTTAGTGAAAAATTTGAGTTTTCTAAGCAAGCTATTCAAGCTATCAAAGCTTGAAAAATTTCAAGTTACTTCATCATGCAAATCCAATGGCGATACTTTTGAAACCTTTTGAAGTTTTTCTATTGAAACAGTCAAGCAATGAAGCTTGGAAATATTTCAAGTTCGTTCTTAGACAGAACCAGTTGGGGAAAATCAAGCTTTTCTTAAGCAAGCTATTCAAACTTTGAAATATTTCAAGCTATTTCATAGATCGAGCTGGTTTGCGAAAATCAAGATTTTTTGCAAGCTATAAAGCGAAAAATTTTGAAAATTTTCAACTTATTCCATAGAGCGAGTCAGTCCTTGAAAAATCAAAATTTTTGTAAGATAGCTATTCAAGATAACTATTTCTCGAAAACAATCGGATAGCAAAAATTTCAAGTTTTCCAATTGCAGCCATTCAAGCGGTTAAACTTTGAAATAGCTCAGGTTAATTCAAATGTCGAACAGGTTTGCAAAGAATTGAGTTTTTCCAAGCAACCTATAAAGCGAATTTCTTGAAATGTTTCAATTTAATTCAGTCCGCGCAAAATCAAGTAATTCTTAAGCAAGCTATTCATGCTCTGAAATTTTGGAAAAGCTCAAGTTATTTCAGACTCAGCTAGTTAGTGAAAAAATTTTATTTTTCTATGCAAGCTATTCATGCAAGGTATTTTTGAAAAAATGTAAGTTGCTTCATAGAGCGAATCAATTGGAGAAAGGTTAAAATTTTTCATAGTAAGCTAATCATGTTATGAAACGTTGAAACTTTTCAATTCCTTCGATGAAAGGAATCGGATAGCTCTAAGTTTAAGTTTTTCTATTGCAACCATTCAATCGATGAAATTTTAAAATATTTCAAGTTACTTCATAGACTAAATAAGATTTCTAAAACTTCAAGTTTTTCTCAGCAAACTATTCAAGCTACGAATCTTTGAAACAGAAAGAAGCGCATCGGATAGCCAAAAGTTTAAGTTTTTGTACTGGAGCCTTAAAGCAATAAAATTTTGAAACATTTTAAGCTATTTTATATGTCAAACTAGTTCGCACAAAAAATCAAGTTTTTGTATGCAAACTATAAAGCAAAAAACAAATTGAAACGCTTCAAATTATTTCATGGAGCGAATCTGTCCGCGCAATCAAGTATTTCTTAAGCAACCTCTCAAGCTAAGAAATTTTGAAACGAAGCGAATCGGATATCGAAAATTTAAAAATTTTCTATTAAAGCCGCCATCCAACAATGAAACTTTGAAATATTTCCATTGATTTCATGAAAGGAGTCGAATAGCGAAAAATTTGCTTTTGTATCCATTCCTATGAAAATTTGAAGTATTTCATAGATCGAACTGATTTGCAAAAAAAAACAAATTTTGCTATGCTAGTTATTGAGCGAACAGCTTACAAAATTTGCAACTTAATTCATAGAGCGAATCAACCCGCAAAAAAATCAAGACTTTCTGAAGCATGCTTTTCAAAGTATGAAGATTTGAAATATTTCAAGTTAATTCATAAAGTGAAGCGATGGCGAAAAACTTCTAAAAAGTCTATTTCATCAATGAAACTTTGAAAGATTTTAGGATTTTTCATGAAGGGAATCGGTTTACAAAAATTTTAAGTTTTTTTTCTCAAGCAAGATAATCAACTTAATCAAGACCAAATCGGTTAGCTAAAATCTCATATTTTCATTAACCAAGCTAGTCAAGCTATGAAACATTGAAATTCCAAGTTAATTCCTAGAGCGAATCAACAAGTTTTACTGAAACATCATACTAATTTATTAGAAATTGCAATATTGAAAAAAATGAAATATATAAATTAAAAAGTTTTCTTAACCAAGCTATTCAAGCTTCGAAACTTTGGAATAATTGAAAGAGAATCGGTTCCTGAAAAACTTAAATGTTTCTTAGGCAAGCTGATGAACCTACTAAAATATTTCATTTTATTTCGTAGGCGGAATAGGTTTGCGAAATATTTAAGTTTTATACACATGCTATTCCAGCTATGAAACCTGAAAAATTTCAATATATTTCAAAGACCGAATCGATTCGCAAAAAAAGTTAAAGTTTTTCTCAGCAAGCTATTCCAGCTATGAAAATTGGAAATATTTCAAGTTTTTCCATAGACTGATTTGGTTTGCAAAAGTTTTAAGTGTTTCCAAGAAAGCTGTTAAAGCTATGAAACTTTGAAAAACTTCAAAATACTTCAAACACTGAATCGGTTTGCGAAAAACTTCGTGTTTCTCTAAGCAAGCTATGAAACTACGAAACATTTCAAGTTGTCTCATAGACAAATTGGTTCGCGAAAAGTTAAAAATTTTATTAAAAAAAAAGTTAAAAGTTAAAAATTCTAGCTATGAAACTTCGAAATATTTCAAGTGATTTCATAAATCGAATCCCTTTGCAATAAATTTGTTTTTCTAAGCATGGAGGTTGCTGTTCTTAGTTGATTCGGTTTATAATGAAATGAATCGTTAAACGCAAAATTTCGGATAAAAAGTGGGCAGGTACCTTGAAGTTGAATGAGTTCATCTCGCTCTGATTGTTGCTCTGAATGATTCTTAAACGTAGATCTAAGCTTTTTTAAGCGTTGCGCTCAATAGCCCCGTAAACACTATGCCTCATGCTGAAAACGTGTCGTTCATGTAAAATGTAAGAAGAAGATTGAAAAAGCAACAAAAAGATAGTTACTTTATTAACTATCGGTCTGACCAGTTAGAATCAAGTAAAAAACATGCCAGCATATAAAAACTTTGCAGAAAGGCTATATAAGAACTTAAGCAAAATCAAACTATGTTAACAAAAAACCAAAAATAAAAACAGTTTTCAATGGGTTAACGGAAAAAGCAAATACAACTCAGTACTCGACGTTAGATTACAAGCAGAGGAATTGAATATATATTTTTTGCCTTAGTAGGGCCAAATATTGCTGAAAAAACTAGAAAAAATGTTTGAAATGTGTGCAAGAGTACAAATCGGTGCCAATCATAGAGAAACCAGACCGTTCAAAGTTCAACAAAAAGTCATTCAAAAAGTTACGATATTGTGAGTATTAACAGCCTGAATTTCCATTTCAGAGTTTGAGCTCAACAAGACATTAACGTTTTATAATTGAAACAAATTCTAATATCAAGGATGAAACTGAAAAAAAAATCAAAAAGGGACAAAAAATGACTCACTGTTTTTAAGCATATTACATAAAAAATTCTGAACCGACTAGTATGCATAAATTCCCCGTTCATCATTTACTAAATATATTCAGCCATCTTCAAATCCATTGCAGGAACTGAAACATTCGACTTAACATAATACAACCCAATGCAAGCACATTGATTGGCTGCTTGTGCAGTGCCACAATGTAGCCTAGCAACAGCATCAGAGTTTAACTTAAGTCATCATTTTGCGCGTAATAAATTATCCGTATAAGCAACAAGGAAGTTAATTAGCACAGAAGCCGAGTTTCGCAACACTTACACTTGCGATACAATGCAAGTGTAGCATTACAAGAGAGCGACTAAAACTGAAATAATTGGAAGTTTTACACCACAAACGTCCTACATTGTTTTTCAAATCACACATTTAATTCACTAAACCAATCAAACAGAAAAATAAAATTAGAGAAACTCCGAGTTGGAAAATTTATGAAACAACAG